TATATAATATATAATACAAATATACAATTCCAATTAATTAATATATTTATATATAGTAAGTTACAAAGTATTATTCAATTATAATCATAAAATAATTAATAGTTTATACAATTAATAATAAAAATATGTAGTAAATAAAAGTCATTTATGCTTGAAGTTTAAAAAATATAGTATGGTCACTCTACCTTAGGTAAAAATGTACTTTATTGTTGATTTTTAATTATAAATATTAGTAAAAGACTATTTATATAAGTTAAAAATGAAATTGATCTTTGTTAATTGATCAAAATTATTAAACTATTAAATGGTATATTTAACTCGAAAATAAACCATGAAAGTATTGAATAAAGCTAATTTCCATAAAATGAATTGACCATACTTTGTTTTATACTGTTCGAAGAATTATAAATTAATCATTTTTCAAAAACTTGAAATTTGTAAAATCATTCATAATGAAATTAAAAAATACTATATAATATAATATCATTTATTAATAAATTTAATAAAATACAATATTACAAATCAAACATATAAATTGAATGATTTTTTCGAAATATTTAATCAATCAAAAAAAAATAATTTAAAATAGTTACAAAATCAAATGAGTAAAGAGTTGACCACTACTATTTTATCTTTTTCTTATACGAGAATGATTGCTTTATTTAAGCTAACAAAAACACCAGAAAATTTTTTAAAGGTCAGAAAAATCTATTATGACCTTTCCAATTTTTTTTAACTCACTTGATGTATTAACTATTAATGAATGTCAGTTTAATGTTGAATCGTTTGATTCATTTAATTCGTTAGAAAAACTTGTTAAATACAAAAAATTAGCTTTTGAATTCCCATCAAAGTACTTTTCTGATGCTGTTACAGTTGCTTCAAACATTGATTATTCTAAAGTATATGATTAAATTCGGAATATTAAGAACGATATTAACAACACTGAGAACGTTGATATTTTAATTAATTTGTGTGAAAAAATGATGGAAATTCTTTCAAAACTACTTCCTCTCGTTAGTATTGGAAGATGTGTTATATTAGTATACAAATCCTTATATGAAGTACATTCATCAAAATGTATTACATGGGAAACACTCCAAGATATAAGTCAGAATTTCAATGATCTTCGTGCATCTCTTGAATTATTTAACAAAAACAACTTCTTTATACAAATGGGACCAGACAAAGTGAATTTCTCATCGAAAATATTTGGAAACACCGCAATTATAAATTCCATTGAAAAGAAAGACGAGCACAAAGTTGAATACAAATTTTCACAACAAAATAAGCAGATTGAGGAATTGGAGAAAGAACTCAAAAAGTTCCAAAACAACGAAAAAGAAAAAGAAACACAAATAGAAACTCTAAAAATAGAAATAGAACAATTGAAATGTGAAAATAATGAATATTTTCTAATGCATCAAAAAATGAATATTGAAAAAGTCGAAATTGAAAAAATCAAATATGATAATCAACATTTAAACGATTGTTTAGAACAAGTCACACAACGACTCGATCAATTGCAGTTAGATTTGAATAATAAAAACCAAGAACTTGAAAATTGTAAAACAGAAAATAGCCAAAATAAACAAATCATTGAACAACTCAATACTAATAGTTCCCAGCAACAATTGCTTATTGAAGAATTAAAGAAACAAATTTCCAAACCTCAAAACGACTCAACTGATAACGATAAAGAAATTCAAATTGAAACTTTAAAAATGAGTTTAGAAGAACAATCACAAAAAGTTTCTTCATTGAATTCTCAAATTTTGCAATACCAAAAAACGATTCAAAAAATGGAAATTGAAAAAGTTAAAACAGAAAAAGTGGAAGATGAAAAAAAACGAAAAGGATACCATTCTCACCGAATCCGTAGAAATCAAAGCGCCTCAATTGCTTTTCTTAAGCGGTGGGAAATTCTCAGTAGATGTCCATGGAACTGTTATTGAATTTGATATGCCAGCATTTGCTACAGCCCCCGTCATATATCAAATTGAAGGTGTTGGAGAAGTCAATGGAAAAGGTGGACAAAAGTATGAATTAAAAGTATTGATGGAAGACGAAAATGATAGTGTTATAGATGGGACTAATCTGGTGAAAACTATTTATGTACCAAAACAGTTTGAAGGGCAAAGAGTAAATTTACCACTTCAGATATTAGACTTT